CATCCTCCGTCACCAGGACACCCGCCTCATTCAGCAGCGGCCCCACATTGTCCCTAGCCTTCCTTTTGCTGCTGATGTAAGGTCACACAAGGACCTCATGCATTCCCATCAAGCTTTTCTGATTACTGAAACAGGGCATTTGCCCACCATGCATTCTACTACTGATTTCCTCTTCAGGACAAAAATGGTCACAATTGGCCAATGTACAGTTGCAACGAGCAAGTGAGGTTAATTGTAGAACATTCGCTAATAGTATAGTTTGGATGACCAGTGTAATCTCAGGAATTTTTACCCAGCTACAGACCTAAGCACTTTCAGTACTTTAATACTGCCGGAATCATAATTCTATTAGCCTTTGTTCAATCCAAGAAATACGAAAGGTTGTCTTTTAAAAAAAGAAAAAAAATCAGCCTATATGTAACCGCCCAGTTTATAAATTCAGTTTGGCCTTCTCCATTGTGGAGGTCTTCTAATTTTACCATAAGGATGGTCAAACACTGGAACAGGTTCCTCATTCAGAGAGGCTGTGGAGTCTCCACCCCTGAAAACTACGAACACCTGACTGGACACGGTATAGAGCAACCCACTCCGCTGATGCTGCTTCGAGCAGGTGAGATTAGACTGAATAATTTTCAGAAGTCCCTTCCAACTTCAACTACTCCATGACCTTGTAACTGTGATATATTTATTAGTAGCGGTAAATTCATAGCAGGTGATGGCAGAAACATCAGAGTGACTGTTCAGAGGCATCTAAAGAGCCCTGACATGCCCAGCTGTCTGGGTGTTAGCCAATGCTGGATTGCAGACTGACAATCACTACGTTTCCTTTAGACTCTTAAAGAAAATGTTCCTTCACTGTCTGCCATGACTTACAGTGTGCCTGACAATTAAGTCTGTAAGTAGGAGACAGAGAAAAGCAGACCTCAAGAAACCTGAAGCGGAATCTACAACCTACATTGCAAAGCACTGCCAGAGATAGTTCCTACGGTCTCAACTCGCATAGCTCAAAAGAATCAGTCTCTTCTCAGAAAAGTAAGTAGATAACATATGGCAAAGATATAATTCACCTTCACAGAAAAAGCTGGAACAAAGGTAAGGGCACCTCTCTCCTTTTCTAAGCTGAAAAGAGGTTTCCTGCACCCATCTACACTGATCAACACAAAGAATACGAGCCTAACTGAAATCAGAGGAGAGGGACATCAGTGTCAAAGTGACCCGACTGTCAGATGTGAAAGGAAAATGGGCTCTGTACTACTTCATTAGCTCTACTCAGATTTCTGCACATAGACAAAATCACATGCAGTGCATGTTCCAAGAGATAAAGTGTGATACGGACTTCCGTAACATACAGTCTTGTCCACTGTCCTTTGACTGTATGCCCAGAAATAAATCTGAATTTAATTTACTTAAACTATGGGTTTGACCTGCGTCTAACACTCCATCAGTAATCTTTTTCAGATTGATTCCCACAGAAAAAACACTAAGTTTTTACTGACGCAACACTGGGTACACAAACAAAATAATGCCAGCCAATCTTAAGACAAAAAAAACCAACAAATATATAAATACAAAACATTTAAATCATTCTGGAAAAAAATCGCTAAAATTTGATTAAATTGCATGATACAAATCATCACATAATTTTTTGGCTGTGGATGCAACACAACAGCTTTATATTTTTCTCCAAGCCACATTCATAACTGTTTAAATATCTCAGTTATAACAAATGCATATATTTAATGAAGAATCAAGCAATTTAACAGTGACTGTTGTACAAACAGTCTTGAAAGTTATTACAGAAAGTTTCATAGTTTGGCCACATGACTACAGAAAAACCACAGAATGGATTTCATAATGTGTACAAAGCCTACTAATTATCAGCTGTGTATATGAGTCTATTAAATACCAAATATTTTGCTGAGGCTATCTAGAAGAGGTCTCATGAAGGGATGCACCTACATTACATGCCTAACCTTTCCTAAACACGTTTAACGCTTTTCAGACACAAAGAAGCTTTTACCCAGTCAAAACCCTGTGCCGCAGATCTGTAGTTACTGCATATAACCCATCAACTTGTTTTAAAAGATCCTGAAGCAAATTACTGAATAAATGGGAGAAAAATAAGCTCCAGTTATGAAGTTCTCACATTTGCTGGTTTAACCTTAAAATAAACCCCACCAAATAAGAACTGCAACCAGTTTGCAGTTCCTGGTAAAAAGTGACACTTGTTTTAAATGGAAAAGTTATTTTATCACAATTTTGTGGAACTTAACAACAAATTCCACCTCTGCTATAACTAAGCTTCAATAGAAAGAGTTTCCAAAACCACCAAGAATACACAGAAATGAATACAGTATGGGTCTTCTCTTGTTTTGCTAACTATTATATTAGAAGTAGTCCTACATTCCTGGCAGAACAGGATGCCTTTTCTTCATGACTTCTTCTTGCAAAAGTGCTTTTTGTATCTATCCTAAACTTCTGCTAAAGCCCAAAAGTGCATCTCAAGAGGCACAGTGAGTATGTTCAGGTATTGTATCTATGCTCACACTAGCAAATTGAGCAGTTTCCAAAGCACCGAGAAAAATGGGAACAACTGACAGCTCTTTTCTTTCCTAGCAGTCACTCTGCCACTGACAAAGCTTCAAGTTTCCCCTGCACTTTTGCCCAGATGCTGGTATCAGCTCGGACTGCCATGGTAACTGGCCAGGCAACCATGTTCTCTGTGGAGCTGCAGGTAATGACCATCCCTTTGAAGATCACAGTCCAGGCATAATGTACAGTACCGTCCCACGGGTGCTTTACCATTCACGTGCTGCTGTTTTTTGTGGTTTCTGAAGAAAACAGCACAGAAGTGGGGTTCAGCTACAGCTCAGAATTCGTTGTTGTTAGGGCATTTTGTGACTTGCCCTTCACAGACCATGAGCAGTCTTAGGATGTTAGCTGTGCCCAGTGTGATGGCACCAAGAACCCTGCAGGTTTTAATGCTTTTTTTTCATTACTATATAGAAAGCTTTAAAGAACAATGTCTTACCTTGGCGTATAAAAGTTTGGCTGGTATCTAGTAATATATCACAGCCTTCTACTATTGTTCTTTCTATAGCTAGATTCTTCCGGATGTTTTCCGTGTCACTCACTTCATCATGCATCACCCTGTTAGATGCAATACAAAATGCACTTTAAATTCCCTGAAATGTATTTTGCACCTGTTGTGTCTGTTTTCACTTGTACTTACACAGTGTATACACAGAAGATAGTAAAACGGATATATTCATGCAGTACATGATCACTCCAGAGCAATCTTCTTGCCTTTTCTCCCTGCCTTTCAAATCATTCTTGAAATCATTTCATTTTTTCAACAGTGGAACTGCCATTTAGGACTATTCCAAAACACATCTGACAGATGCCGTCAAGCTAAAAACCCTTCACAGCTGATAGAATAGTACTTCCTAGTCTGCTACAAACCTGGAAGTGTTTCCTAGCTTTCTGTCATACAGTTATAACACATCGTAGATCCCTGCCCATGACTTGAAGTACTCACTCTGCTCTGCTTCAGTTTACATCTTAATGTACCATTTACTTCCCCCTTGCTTCCTATAACAACCACAGACTTGACGCCTCACTGCTTACTTTCTTCCACTTTTTTTCATAGGCATCCCGCCCTTACACAGAGAACTACAGATTTTTTCAAGGCTGAAACCAACCCAGCAGTTTATACAGTGTTGTGATGCATTAATATTTTCCTGAACTGGGATAAACTATACTATCTGAAAGTTCCTCCTCGCTCAGAACTACATTGAAGGGATGGAAATGAGTCACAAAGTTTTATATTTATGGTCTACACTTCCTGCCTTATCAGCAGAGAAGGATCAATCAGTCTCACCCTCTAAGTCTGAACATTCAGTGATGAATTAGTTGGATCAGCAATGAACTCTGACTTATGAGATCATGTCAAGTCTAAGCTGATTGATCTGTCTATGCACATAACCCTGGCCTGAGAAATCTTCTGCTTTGCCTGAGTGGAAATGAGACATTACTTCTTTCTGCTTCAGATGGCCTCAGAACAGGGCAGAACTTGATGAACGTTGCAGGAGTCAAACACAGACACTTCTGTAAAAGATATTGCCTGCCCAGCTCTTCAAGAAGTTAGAGCTTGAAGAGATGGCACAACATCACCTGACTCAGAAAGCTGCCTCTGCTAAAGGTAGAGCAGGACAAAAACGAAAAAATAACAAGCTCCAAAGCAAGGGGTAGTTCACACAAGGTAGCAACTTTGTCTTTACAGAAAAAGAAAACTGAGCAGTCAAGAGCATGCAATTAACAAAAGCCATAAAGCAACTCCCTCTTTTTCAAGTAAACATTCTCAAAGCACATCTTTGGTGACTACTCCAGATACTACACATTTATATCCTGGAGTTCATGCAGCATTTCTTTGCTCACAGCAGAAACTGTGTTTCCCATAGATAACAGCCAAATTTCTTACTGGGCTGATAGAGGGGAACATCTAAGAATGGCCTAAGAGTTCTGGGGAGAGCTTCATTTTGCACGTTTCTACAGGGAGCACCAGTTCTCAAAATATATCTCTAGTTCTTGTTTATCTGGCATTATTTGAAGCATGTGTGAAAATCAGTTTCTTCATTAACGGATGTAAATTATAACACAGATTGAGAACTCGGTATTTTTCCAGACCCTGACTGATTCCTGTTGTCACAGAGTATCGGAAATGCCATTTTTCTTTAAGTTGTGAAAAAAATACATGTTTCTCTATGTAAAGAAAATTGCTTTGCTCATAATTCAGGAGCAGGTGGTTCCTACAGCAACTCCCATTCTCTCCTACCCAAAATACAAGGAGACACTTGCAGATTACATCAGCGAAAAAAACGAGCCAAACTATTAGGCTGGGGAATTTGCAATTTTTTTCATTCTCTTTGTTTTGGTTTGGTTTTCATCATTTTCTTTAAAAGATTTTTTTTTAAATAACAAAAGCATGCCAAAATAAAGAAAATAGATCTTTCATTTCAAAAACTTGATATCAAGTTTATACAGTAGAAAAATCTTACCTTGAAAGTTCTTCTAGTTTAGATTTAGCAAACTCAAGGCTTTTTCGCTCAACATGTTCATGTGGTGTGTGAGCCAGAAGTTCATGAAGTGTTATAATATATCTAGGAATCTTAAAACAAGTCAGGTACAAACTCAGTAAATCCTTAAAGCAATAATCCCAAACTAGCTTTTTGGTAAATATTAACCATTACATTGGTCAGAAAAGTTTTGCAAACATATTGGTTTTTAAATGAATATCCACAGCTAAATGATTATACATACATTCTAAAAATAACTGCTGCCAAAAATACTGAACTTTTGGGTGATAGAGATTGCATATGCATATGTACATTTTCAGTTGGAGGAAGCCCAAGATCCATTTATTACATTTTAAGGAAGAGATCAGATCAGAGGCAGCCACAAACATGACATTAAATTTCATTCTTTTGTTCTGCTATCCAAGTAACAATAAAGAAAAGGCCCTGGGAGATCTACACATACCTTTCCTCAATTCTAATAGCATGTGTGCATCTAAATTTCTTGTGACTTTGAAAATGCCAGCTGACCTTTTTGCATTTAGATAAAATAAATTAACTTTGCACTAATGGACACCGAAGAATATGCAGTATTTGACTATTCAAGGCCACAGGTAAGCACAAGGACCCTGATCCATTTATTATTACTTAAAGCCGTTTCAGGGCTTTTAATCAGAACGAAGTGATCCTGCAGTACAACTTCTCTTTACAGAATAAAAATTATTCAGGAGAAGGAGACACAAGTTCTTACTATGTTGAAGTCACAAGTCATCAGCCAAAAAACGATCCAAACTATTAGGCTGGAGTATTTGTGATTTTTGCGAGTTCTTACTATGCTAAAGTGACAAGTCATCAGCAGTTACATCCTCCATCACATATGAATAGGACTCTCTCTCTCCCTTCTAAAATTCCTAAAACTTTACAACATACAAGCTCAAAGCTAAAAAAATGTATTGTGTCAGGTGCTAATGGCCCTTTAAGCTAACGTGAACAACTAGCACTATTACAAGTGTCACTGACATTCCTTTTTTTTTTATTTTGACTCTACTTGGTTTGCCAGTAACTGAACAGACTGAGGGTGTTCACAGTTCTCTTGTTGAGTAAAATGTTAGGTTAAAACACACAAAATAATCAGACCAGTGTTTCACAGACCTCTTAAAACAGCTACAAATAATTAATCCAGGCAGATCAAGACAAAATATCAGAAGATTAAATTTTTCAAAACTTTTGCAATGTATTTTTCATTTTCTAAAGACCAAGTCATTGGAGAACAAAGTGGGAGGAAAGTTTAAAAATGCGTTCCTAGTAAAATGCTTGTGGCTGCTTTAACTTGCTTTGCCAGGTAAATTATCCCTCTCTGGACTGCTTCACAATCCTGCAGCAGGCAGAAGTCAAGCAACTGTTTCTTAGCTTTTTTTCTTTTGGCACTAGTCCTCATCCCACATTCCCCTTCAACAAACATAATATTGTGAACAGATATGAATCAGTATAGTTGAAGAAAAGATCTCAACAGGCAGAAATGCAGTATAATAATTAAATGAAAACTAAATTAGTTTGCATGACAGTATTTTTAGTTAAGCAAGAAAAATCTTCACCCAATCATAATGTCACTAATACAAAATTAATCAACCAAATATTAAAAATAGTCACAAAAAATATACAGAGACTACCTGAAACATGGGGTAAGTAAGGAAAGTTTCCAGCATTCGCCCCTCACATGCTGGGTTGGCTTCATATTGCTTCAAGAGTTTGTCAAAATCTCTGTTTTGTTTACAGTTTGCCAGTACTTGTAGACTATATTGATGATTCCGAACAAATTCTTGATATATGTTCAGCATTGGCAGCAGAATGTCAAATAAGTCAGCTAGAAAAAGTCAAGAAATGCTTTTTTTTTTCCAGCTACCCATCTCTTGAAACAAGTTTTCAAAGAAACTACTATGTTCTATGGGAGTGAATTACTATAATCATTTCTGTTTCAAACATACTGAGGTTTTAGAAACATTAAACTCAGCTCTTTCACCTGCCAAAACATGGTTGTTCCGATTAGCTAATAATCGGGCAATATTACTGAAAATTCAGGGGCCCATGTCTAATCAATGCTTAGGGCAGAGACATTCTCATATATGGACTGGAAGACAGTCACTACTGCCCATGCGGGCCTCTCACTACACCTGATATTCTGGTGTTAGTTCTGGACACACATCATAAAGGACTTCAAAAAAGTCCTGTCTTTACAATAAAAAAAAAAAAAAAAAAAAAAACACTTACCAATAATTTCAAAAATAAACACAGAAATTGTACCCCTAGAGAAAATATAATGACTTACCTAGGATTAAGGTAGGCCAGTTAGCTATTCTTGCTTTTAAGCCTTGGTGAAATATCTCATGAAGAAACATGATTGTTTCACTGAAAAACAAGTATTTAAACAGACAAAAAGACAATTCAGGTTTTATTTTCTGATTCATAATTCACAGAGAAACACCTCTTCCTGGTTAGTAGTACATTTTACACTTTGCTAGAAAAAACAGAAGATAGTTGTTATTAATATGGAAGTAAGTACTTCCTTCTATTGCATTGTTTAAAAGTCTTAGTGTAGTATGTCTAAAAATTATCTAGTATTTGGTGTAGTTCTTTTAAACAAATGCTTCTATTAAATAATGTGTTCCACACAGTTTAATGAATAGGTTTTCCAAGAATATCCTTGACAATGCATTCAGTAGTTTAAGAGGACCAGTAAGATGCAGAAATCTCCAGCCAGGGGTAGTCAATTACACTCTCATTTGCTGCTGTTTAAGATCTGACGGTTACAGTATCTCTGTAACACGAACCTTCATATTATATTTTAGCATATGAGGTCAACAGAAGTATGTGACATCCCAGTTGTAAGAGACACCATAAAGAGTACAGCGATCATGAATAGGCTATGAATGGGAAACCTGTCTCACAACTAAGGAACATGTTCTATTTCTTCGAAGGCTGGGGCAGACTTGGATGCAATCCCAATCCTGTATCAAATGTTAGATCCCTGCTGGCTTAGTTGTACATACTTATTACAATAGTACTTTGATGCTTAACGTAAAGAAAAATTCTTTTTCTGTAGGATATGAAAAGACAAGTGAGAGGGAAGGAGGCTCCTTAGGCAGGACAACAGAAAACAGAAGACTTGATGTACTCATCCTCAGGGTCTTATGTTGATCATACGAGGCCACTCAGTCCAATTTTGCTCTCTTAGGAGAAAAAGAAACAGGAAAGGTGACAGAAGATTCTAAGAACTGCCCCAACAGGCATGATTTGTCCTTTTCTTCCTCTAGCAGAGGAAGAAATAGAATGTAAGGAGGCAAAGAGGTCTAGCTGGTTTCAAACAGCATCACTGACAGCACCCTGCCTTTTACCCTTAGAAACATGGTCTACCTCAGTGACATTACCTACATCAGAGCAAAAAAACCCAAGTGCCAGACCTCACTAGTGTAAACTGAAGAAGAATGGGAAGAAGTGGTCAGAGAAACCCCCAAAAAGCAAACAAAAAACCCCCATACCTGTTGAGGAAAATGCTACTAACATCATCGTGGCTGATAGGTGGCTTCTTTGAACTTGCAGCCATCCTTAAGGGCCGCAGAAAACAGTTCACAAGAACATAAAGTTGATGCACATACTCAGATTCAGCCTCCACCATGTTAAAAACTATCTGATTCCTTTTTCTCATGCTTTCTGCGTGGGGAGAACAAATATAATCTTGGACAATAGTTTTCCATTTTCTTCTACATAACCAGCCCCGCATAAAGCTCTGGACCTAGAAATGGACCAAGCAGAAAAGAAAAATGAGAAAAAACATTACATGACTTATCATAAGCTCTTCATTGTAGAAATAACCCTCTACATGAAACATCACTGTTTAAAAAAAAAAGTCTGTTGCCCTTATTGATCTACAAGTGATCCTGAATTACATTTTTTTATATCTCTGTTTGTTAATGAAATTCCCACAATCACCTGGTCGTACATGTTGCCAGGAAAGAGACTCCAAAGATATCACATACACATCAAGGTACCTTTTGCCGCAAGCTCAAATGTTGTACCTTTGTATACACTCTATCAGCACAACTGTGCTATGCACTGTGCAGCTTTTTAAACTCCTTCTACCTCTCCTTACACACTTCTATTATACCCCCAAGTATTGTGCAACACTTCCACATAATACATTTCAAGACAGACTCGATATCATTATTGACATAATTCTAAAACAGCTGTTAAACTCAGCTTGCTTTCTGTTCTGAATAGACTCCACTTAGCATGTGTATTTAAAGCTAAGTATCAATATGCTGCTTAGTATCAGACATCTCGGCCAGCAAGACTATTATCCAGAAAAGGAAGATTTTTGGCATTCTTAAAAAGTATCACTATGCCATGGAAAAGTCTACTTAAGTGGAATATCCACTGAAGTTACAAGTGGAGTAAAGAATACAGAAAAGGTCTGGTCACAGAAAATTTCAGTATGTCTTTACCCTGATCTTGATGTGAAGATCATTCATCTTGAAAGAGAAATGCAACATCTCACCAGTAGCACTTTACTTGGAATAAACAACTTTTAAAAAAGGGCCCATTTGTCAAAACAGTCAGAACATAGAATGCACTGAATTATACACAGAATAAAAGCTCTCCTTCTACTAACAGACACATTTGCATTTCTATTACAATGTATAATCTACATGAAAAGGAAAATTCACACACGGGTACCGGCTCAGTACTAACCCTGACTCAGACTGCGTGCCCCAGAAAGCGTCAGAAATGAAGTCCGCATACCATAACGGATATTATGCAATTAAAGAGACTCAACACTGTGAGAATACGTGACACATATGGAACATCTTCAAGCATGAATTCCATTCATGCTCGTGCATTAGGATTTGTGCGAGTCAGCGATGGGCACAGTTCCAGAGGCTGGTTATATCCAGACTTAAGCCATAATACCAAAAGCTGCATATGTAAATGCCATACAGACTGGGACAATTCTGTCCCTGTTATTAAAAACACTGGCCACAGTATCCTGGAAAAATCACCACTAAACAGACCAGCTGACAACGAAACCAAGACTGCTCTCCGCATTTTCAGTATTTGTGTTCCAGCTGCAGTGACAGAATATAAATCACTCTCTTATATCTTTATAAGCATTTTTATAAGAAAGGAGTATAAAGTCACTACACCCTTGACTCCCACAATACATAGCCCACAACTTAATTACAATCTTTACAAGCAGTTGAATGTAATGTGCAAGCTCCTTTGAGAAACTGAACATATACCTTGCAAGTAAAAATGAATATTTAAGTAACAAATACACCTTGGGATCAATGTGGCACCAAAACATATGAAGCTTATATAATTTAAGAGGTTTAAGTAGGGGGCAAAAGGAATTTTGCTATTTGAGTGTAGTTAACAAAAATAAATGAAGACAAAACTACACAGAGTAAAATACAGAAGTACATCCCCGATTCCACCCCTCTCCTCTTAGGCACAGAGGACAGCATGTTTACCTTTTTAATTTTTTTAATATCTGGATCCTCATCTTCCTGGTTGCCTTGATAAGGTCGCATTCTTTCTTTTGTTTTATTGAGAGCTACAATCTGACAAAAACAACCATTCATTAAATGCTTTCTCAAGTTAATGAAACTCCCAGTTACAGAACTAACAGAAAAATATTTTTCCCTTCTTCAAGCCTGTTAAAGCTGCACAGAATGATAAGCAAGTATTTGGTCACAGGGACATGAACTTTGTTCTCTGAAAGCCAGCAAGGCTCTTGATCCAGATGGAGGAAGGACCAGAAGAGAGCTGGTTCTTCTCTCAAAACCAAGTGTGCCTTTTACACGTTCTCAGCTCAGGACTGCAACAAATTTTTTAACATTCAGTGAAACAGACCATTTTGGAATAGTTCTCACTACTGTTCCAACCAAAGACCATGTGTCGACGATCAAACTCCTTGCATGAAGACAGGTAGTAAATAATGCAAGGAACGGCACCCACACTGCAAAGCCATGTGTCACCTTAAAATCTCTGACAAAGAAGTAATTCAATCAGTTTAACAGTCCTAAATAATTCTAAGAAAAATATTTAGCCAAGGGTTCATAAGGGGACTATTACATGCTAACCTAGGTCCCGTTATTATCACAAATATTACAGAAAGACTGAATATGATTCCAACGCACACAGCAAAAATTTATAATTCAATGACCAATTGATGGTTCTGGCACATACCTCAGATTTAAGTCTTTCAATTTCTGTGTCTTGATCTTCAAGCTGATGTCGAAGCTGATTGGCTGCAATCTTTTCAGTCTCTACAATCTGGACGAGATGAATGTACTTCTGCATTAACACCTCCCTTTCAATCAGAATATCTGAATAACTAAAAGGGAAAACATATACATTAGTAAAAATAGCCATATATTGTCTTCCATATTCCCTTGTGAGATGTTGATAGAATAAACACTGCACCAATGGCAAGAAACCTGAAAAATCATGTTTGTTTGGCTCAATATATGATGAATAGCTTGGTGGTTATCCAAAGTTAGTGTTCAATATCCTTTTTAGAGATAGGCACTAGTAGTACCCAGTTTCCCAGTATGCAGTTACCAAGAGCAAGATAATTGTGCTACTTTTTTTATGAGCTTCTAATTCTCACACTAAGCCCATGAATTCTATTAATTCAATTTATTTTCCCACCTTTTGGGAGGACCTGGGGCGAGTATCTGGCACTTCAGCAGAACTATTTCTAATTCTCTCCACGTCAGATCTCTCTATGGAAGTATTCCCATTGTAACTGTTACATTAGTTTGCTAACACCAACTTTATTGTTTATTCAAATAAATGTATTTATTCTAACTAGTAACCAACCTACGGTATCATTCTTTCTTTTAGCTTTTGGGTGGCAAACTGCCATTGACTTCTATTTTCCTACTAAGGAACAGCATCCCCAGTACAATTAGATGCCACAATCAGAGCAGTGATGAGAATCATACTGGAAGTACTGTTCCCAGCTTTATGTAAAGGAGAAATCAGTTTCTACCTGTGCAACATCTCCATCAGACTGTTCTTTCACGTGATTCAGTTTCTCCCACACAGATAATTTAGATGTGCAGAAAACACACAGTCGTGTGAGGTACTTGTTTGCTGGCCTGAATTCAGCAAAATCTACAGACACATAGTGCCTCTTTACCTCAGTTTCAGAAAGCTTGTTCCTCTGAGTTAAGTAATTTTACAAGATAAAGACCAAACTGGACAAAACACGGCAGAACGAAGGCCTAAATCATTGACAAGGGATCTCTTACTATTTTATGGTCTATCACTGAAAATGCTGACTACTCTATCTTTTTCCATAGTCAAGTTAGCACGGGATTTGACAGAAGGAATTTCTGGACTGCATGTCTTCTCCTTTTAATTTTTTTTCTACTTGTTACAGCATTCATAAAAAAAATTAACATTTGCTATTAAATACTGTGAGGCTTTTGAAAATGTAATAATGCGCATCCTCTCCAGTTAATCTTGTTTTGTACATGCTTACTGCCATTTCAATCAGTATTAATGCAGTTATATACTGGAGGGGGCCAATACTGAGTAGAGCTATTAAATTCAACACCTAACCTGCAAAGCAAGCTTACATTTAAAATCATTAGAATGAGTTCCCATGGCTATCATAAAGCAAAAGTTTTTCCTCCTTGAATGGATTACAAAAAGAATAAGAAGTGAATTTAATTCTATTGCATTTATCATTATGTTCTAACTACTGCAATATTAAAAAGTAACTGGCAGAAAAAAACCTCAGGACATGTCTTCCAACAGGTAAACCAACATATGTTAAAAAAAAATGTCATAAAGCAATCCATGTATCTTAACTGTGCAATAAACAGCGATAAAGTATGAGATATAGCTCTTTAAAATTGCTCAATCTTTTTTGTTTTGCAAGAATCCTGTTTTTTCAGAAACCACAACACTTGATCTGTTTGTACCCTAAAAGGTATTTGCACATAAAAAAAAATTTCTGAGTTAGAAAAACAGTTAGCTCTAGTTGTTTAACAATGATGAGAAACATTATGAAGATAAAAATATATGTAACATATGTAAGAAAATGCATTCCTTAGTGCCTGGAGCACCACCTTGATTTACATTTAATACAGAGTAGTCTTTTCTACCTAAAACCAGATCCAGATACACGACAAGACCTTTTCTTCTATTTATCCTTTTCAAAATTTTCTTAAACTTTTGTTACCAAATGTTTCCCATACAGAATTTGACAGTTTTGGCTTTTCATTTATTCAAGGCTGAGGAAAACATAGGACACAGAAACACAAACGATGAACAGCAGCTGCAGTCAGAGCTGATGTGAGACTCAAGATACTATTACAAACAATGTTTTTCTTCCACTTTGTTTTTATTTTGCTTCTTTCGGGGAAGAAACTTGTCCTGGGTTTGGCCAGGACAGGGTTAATTTTCACCAGACTCCAGGAAGGGGCACAGCCGGGGGGTGGGGGCTGACCCCACCTGGCCAAACAGAGCCCGGTATTCCATGCCATGTGACGTCATGCTGGGTTCCGGTGGGGGGGGGCACCCCGGCGCAGCGGGAACTCGCTCTCGGCTCGGGAGGGTGCGGTGCCGGTCCTGTCTGGGAGAGCGGGTCTGTTGTGCGAGTTTGTGTCCTATTTTCTCCTTATTTGTATTGTTGTTGTTCCTGTTCCCTCTGCTGTTCTGTTAAACTGCCTTATCCCGACCCACCAGTTTCTGCCTCTTTCTTTTCATTCTCCTCCGCACGCCGGCGGGGGGAGGGG